GCAGTAAATTTGCCATCTAAAATGAAGACTGAGTAAAATTGAGATCACGTTTTAATAAAATTGAGATTTTATTGGCCAGTTTTCTTCCAAAGCAAGATTTTCCTTGTGTCCAAAGTTTCTTCCAATATATAAATAACAAGAAAAAGAAATCAAGGAAACAGTTGCTCAAGTAAAGTGAGAAGATGGCCAGGAAGTAACAGGCAAACCGAGAGAAAGCAGAACTGCTTATCTCATTATTTCCATCAGTCTTCACACAAAAATAAACTGTGGCCCAACCTACCAGAAACATAACTGTAAAAAAACCAGACTGGAAATAAAAGTTAATATAAGCAACAACAACAACAAAAACAGTAAGAGAACACCTGTCTGATCTTGATGAGTATAAATCACCAGGATCCGAAAGTTCTAAAGGAGCTGGCAGATGTTGTCTCAGAACCACTGCACCACATCTTTTAAAAATCCTGGAACACCAAGGATCTACCAGAGGACTGGAAAAGAACTGATGTGAGTCCCATCTTAAAAAAACAACAACAACAACCCAGACCCAGAAAATTACAGACCAATCAGCCTAAGATCAATATACTGGAAAAGATAATAAAAAAAACTTATTTGCCAACACCTAGAAACAAGTAAAGTAATAACTAGCAGCCAGCATGGGTTTGTTAAAAACAGATCATGCTGAATCAATCTTATTTCATTCTTCAACACAGTGACTAAATTAGTAGACCAGTGAAATACTGTGGACATAATATACATAGACTTCAGCAAGGCATTGGACAAAGTAGACCACAATCTACTGCGTCGTAAGCTAGAAAAAAGTGGGATAGATAGATTCACTACCAGATGAATTTGCAACTGGCTGACAAACTATACTCAACCTGTAGTTCTTAATGGGTCTATGTCTACATGGAGAGAAATAAGCAGAAGGGTACCACAAAGTTCCATCTTAGGCCGAGTGCTCTTCAATATCTTCATAAACAACTTAGATGAGGGTTAGGGTTAGGGTTAGGGTTAAGGTTAGGGTTAGGGTTTGCAGATGATACTAAGCTGACAGGAATCGCTAACACCCTAGAACTGTGATGGTGAACCTACGGTACGCGGAGCCATATTTGCCACTATGGCAGCCCTCGGCAGCCCTCGGCAGCCCTCGGCAGCCCTCGGCCACCCTCAGCTCCTCAGTTGATTTTCAGCCTTCTGCAGGGCAGGGGGAGGCCATTTTCACCCTCCCCAGGCTTCAGGAAAGCCCCCGGAAACTAGAGAGGGTGAAAAATGGTCCAAAGGGCAAACTGGAATTTTGTTTTAAAACTTCTGATTGGCCCATTGACCCTGTTTTTCACTCTCACCTGGCTCCGGAGGCTTTCCTGAAGCCTAGGGAAAGTGAAAATTCCCCCATGCAGAAGTTGCACGCACATGTGTGTGGGGTTAGCTTGCATACGCACAGGGTGGTCTGTTGCGGATGCACAGGTGGGTGGGATCTTGACAGACTTGAACATTGAGACCTATCTAACAAAATGAAATTCAATATAGAGAAAAGTAAAGTCTTACACTTAGGTAAGAAAGATCAAAAGTACACATATAAACTGAGTGAAACCAGTCTTAATAGCAGTGATTGTGGGAGGGATCTTGGTGGACATCCAGTTAAATATAAGCCAGCAGTGTGCAGCAGCAGCCAAAAAACCCAATGCAATCCTAAGTTGCATTAACAGAGGGATACAATCAAGATCAAGTGAGGTATTAATACTACTCTATAAAACCCTAGTAAGACAACACCTAGAATAATGCATCCAGTTTTGGTCACCACACTAGAATAGAATAGAATTCTTTATTGGCCAAGTGTGATTGGACACACAAGGAATTTGTCTTTGGTGCATATACTCTCAGTGTAAATAAAGAGACACATATATTTGTCAAGAATCATAAGGTAAAGCACTTAATAATAGCCAAATACGTAATCAGGAAATAATCAATATAAATTGTAAGAATACAAGCAACAAACTTACAGTGCTGCAGTCATAAGTGGGAGGAGATGGGTGATAGGAATGATGAAAAGACTAATAGTAATAGTAATGCAGCCTTAGCGAATTGCTTGACAGTGGTGAGGGAATTATTCATTTAGCATAGTGATGGCATTGGGGAAAAAACCTTCTTGTGTCTAGTTGTCTTGGTGTGCAGTGCTGTATAGCATCGTTTTGAGGGTAGGAGTTGAAACAGTTTATGTCTAGAATGCTAGGGGTCTGGAAATATTTTCTGGCCCTCTTTTTGACTCATACAGTGTACGGGTCCTCAATGGCAGGTTGGCAATAATTGTTTCTTCTGCAGTTCTGATTATCCTCTGAAGTCTATGTCTGTCTTGTTGGTTTGAAGAACCAAACCAGACAGTTATAGAGGTGCAGATGACAGACTCAATAATTCCTCGGTAGAACTGTATCAGCAGCTCCTTGGCAGTTTGAGTTCCTGAGTTGGCTCGGAAAGAACATTCTTTGATGTGCTTTTTTGATGACATTTTCAATGTTGGGTGTCTATTTTAGGTCTTGAAATATGATAGCACCTAGAAATTTGAAGGCCTCTACTGTTGATACTGTCTAGTATTGTAAGAGAAGGTAGTATGGTAGAGTTTCTCCTAAAGTCTACTACCATTTCTACGGTTTTGATTGTGTTCAGTTCCAGATTGTTCCTGTCACACCACAAGACTAGTTGTTCAATCTCCTGTCTCATTGTTGTCTTGAATGAGACCAATCACTATTGTATCATTTGCAAACTTCAGTAGTTTAACAGATGGATTGTTTGAGATGCCGTCATTGGTGTATAGAGAGAAGAGAAGTGGAGAGAGCACACAGCCCTGGGGGGCCCTGTGCTAATTGTACAGATATCTGATGTGATTTTGCATAGCTTTACCTGCTACTTCCTGTCTTTTAGGATGCTTGTGATCCACTTACAAGTGTTTTCAGGTACCACTAGCTGATTTAGTTTAGTTAGAAAAATGTCCAGTATGATGGTGTTGAATGCTGAACTAAAGTCTACAAAGAGGACCCCTGCATAGGTCTTTGGAGATTCAAGATGTTGTAGGGTGTCGTGCAGAACAATCTGTTGATCTATTTGCTCGATATGCAAATTGCAGGAAGTCTAACAGTGGATCTGTGATGTCTTTCAAGTGGGACATCACTAGCCTTTCAAAGGTTTTCATAGCTACAAATGTTACAGTAACTAGTCTGTAGTCATTCAGTTCCTTAATGGAGGGCTTCTTCGGCACTGGGATGATAGTGGAGCATTTGAAGCAAAAAGGAACATGACACATCTCTAGTGATTTGTTGAAGATTTGGGTGAAAATGGGGGCCAATTGATCAGTGCAGACTTTTAAGCAAGGAGTTATCTTATCTGGGCCTGGTGCTTTTCCTGGCTTCTGTCTGTGAAATAGATCTTGGACTTCCTGTTCTGTGATCACCAGGGGTTGTGAAGCCAATGAGATGAGGTTAGTTGTAGGAGTTGTAGAAGGTTTGGGTGTTGTTGGTGT